TGAATCAAGGCATTTATATACAAATTAAACAGCCGAGGCGAGGTCAAACCTCCCTGCCTCACGCCACATTCTAATTTATATGGATCTGAGAGTGTGCCTGCCCACCTCACACTATTAGTTTGATTACTATACCAATACTTCAAAATGTTTACAAGTTGAGAAGATACACCTACTTCTTGTAATTTTTTCCACAGAATATCATAGGAGACCAGATCAAAAGCTTTGCTTAAATCAAGGAAGCAGGCATACACTGGTGTACCCCTTTGTGTATAGTACCTGACAGCGTGTTTGAGGCACAATATGGCGCTCTCCGTCGACAATTCTGGTTTAAAACCAAATTGATTATCGTGGAGTGCTATAGATTTGGCCAATTGCGCGTCCAACACGCTGTCAAGCACCTTAGCCATCACAGTCGCCAAGGATATCGGCCTATAATTATTCTTGTCAGCGTTGTCTCCAGTTTTATTTTTGATTATGGGCACCACAATGGTGTTCATTAACTGTTCAGGCAGGTGAGAGTGGCTTAGGCACAACGTGTAAAACATAGCTAGCACACGAGCAATGTGAGGCCCCGCATATTGCAGATGCTCAATACTAAGCCCATCATGGCCAGGAGATTTTCCTCTTCTCAATAGGCGAATAGCTATGGCCACACTTTTTGCCGAAATCTTAAGGTTCGATTCTGCACCTTGGGACCCAGTACTGAGCATCGACATTGACGGACCAAGTGGCGACCTAACAAAGAAATGCTCCCTAAAAACATTTGCTATATTTCGAGGGTCAGAGTGACCTGCAACACTAATGGGGAGGCCAGGCCTACTATTCAGTTTCTTAGTATCTTTCCAAAAACTGGAAAAATTCTTATTTGTACATGATGTTGCTAATCTATCCATCTTAATTTGTTCCTGATGATCCTGGCACCACTTTAAGCGTGATTTAAAAACCTTTCTACTTTCGCGCATAGCATCATATATAATGCCTGTTCTCGGTTTCCCATAATCAACCCACTCTTGAAACTTAAGCCTGGCCGCCCCGTGAGCGTCACGCACGTGCCTATTCCAACCTAATACACACCTACTTTTGTGTTGCTCCCTTCGCTGATATGTAACCTTTGCAGCTTCACGTAGAGTAGTCACTATGTTACAGTACATGCCATTCAGCAAATCTTTATGGCTCTGGTTATAACATATTTTGTCGCCACATTGTATAAAATCATTAGGGAAATCAATTGATCTTAAATGCTCATGACAATATTTCATGTATTCATGTATCTGATCAACATTCCTATTTCCCCACTTCACCTCGCAATCTGCATTCAAATTATTAGCACTATACGATTTTGGTAAGCATTTAAAGGCTTCAAATTTGCACTGTAAATACAGTGGAAAGTGATCAGACCATAGCACACCATAATTTATATGCACATTAGCGACAGTACTGAAAGCAGACTTTGTAACTAAACAATGATCCAGCCAGCTTGACGTTCCATGAGCGTCACTTATAAAGGTGTAAGAACCTGAGTCTACCCCCAACCTTACAACATCTGCACAGACCAGATCATACTCTACACAAAACTGTGACAACTCACTAAAAAATAGTCCCGCTGGATGGGCATTAAAATCACCCAGGACAAACACAGAGTCAGCATCTTCAATGTCTATTAAAGCACTCACCAGTCCGAGGCATTCCGTAAATTCCACTGCGTTCTCAGTCTTTTCGGTTGGCATGTAAACACTCATCACTATTATAGTCTTATCGTTAATCACAATTTTGATAGCACAAACCCTTGGATTATCACTGGGTATCACTGACACTTCACTGAAAATGCATTTACGCCATAGTATTGCTACTCCGCCATATGGCCTACCAACTAGCATTCCCGTCGACGTGTCCATTGCGGATGTTCCTGTACTGCCAAATTCCGTATCTATATTGCTGAGGTACGTAATTTCATCTGGTAATAACCATGTTTCCTGTAAGGCTATTATATCACAATGTCTACACAGTTCTTTAATATTTTCGTTTGACCGCTTGACATTTTTACAATTGAAACTAACTATATTACATGTGTAGCTATCCATTATTTCGATTGTTGACGTTCGCTGTTGGCAGAGGTATTGGGCTTATAACTTACAAAGCGCCGAAAAAGTATACCTTGTGGCCACAAATGTTCATCCAAGAATACCTGCAATTTATGTTTGGGAACAAACACCTTATAAGCATTATATTCTGTGTCGTTCTTTTTGTTGATTTTAAGCAGTGTCACAGTCTCTCGTGTTTTCTGTTGTAAATAATCACTAATATCTTGTTCAGTGGTGTCTTTGTGTACGTGACTGATAAAAATTGGTACTTTCAAATCAGCCACTTTAAATCTACCGTCAGTATCATTTGACGCACCCAACACACCAGTCAGTCGTTTTTTATATTTTGATTTGCGACTGACAACCGTTTTCCACTGCTCATCCCCACAATGATTCACGCTATTACTAGGAAGTGAAGACAATATGTTCGCCGTCGTAAAATGAAGTTGTTTACCACAATTATTGTTGCTAATAAACCGGTCGGCGCACCGTCCCGTTATCTCATGTGACGTCACATAAGCCGGTTTAGTTGCACTTTTTTGTGTTTGTTTACTTATGCGTGTAGTTATAGCGGAGTTCAATATGTCATCACCGTCACATTCAGAGCGGTTGCAGCCTCCATCCGTAATTAAATCCGATGACTCATGACGGGATATTTGGGACGTAGATGGTTCCGATTCGCTGTTAATGTACCCACCTCGCTTATTATTAATGTTGCCGGTATCATACAACAAAGGTGCTGTTTTAATTGTATAAAATTCCGCCTTGAGTCCTTCCAGATCTTGTTGACTTGCATATCTGTTTTTTATGTCATTGACCTCTGATTGCAATAACGTTATATCTTTGAGCAATTTCGAGACATCTAAATGATCAAACGTTATTGGGGGTAGTCTATTCAAGTCTCGTGCTACAAAGACTGGTAATTTGTCATAATGGTTTGGTTAAATTTAAAAAAAAATTGATAATATTTCTTATTTACCAAATGAAATTAAATTAATTAAAAATTAATTTTTAAAAAACAAACTTCATGCTATTGGCCCTGACCTAAATTATTCCAAGTGTGAGATATTTTTAGATGACTCTACCGACAGACAGATCACATCAAAATTTACTACTTTAGCGCCTAATATCTCGGTTGTCGATAAATGTTCGCTTCGCCTCTTAGGTGCGCTCGTCTTCGAGGACTCTTTTCCAAGTTTTATTGATGAAAAAATTCATAATTTTTCTGTCGTTTCAGAAAGACTATATCACATTAGAATGCATTCGGCCTACATACACTATTATTCCTGTTTCTTGTTTTGGTCCCAAATTTATGTACTATCTGCGCTCGAGACCCACATCTGGTCAGCACCCCTTCTTTTGGAAAAAAATTGACCGAATCATTAGACAAACTTTGTCCATAATTTTGAATGTGGCTCTCGACGACCGAGCCTGGACACAAGCTAAAGTGGCCTGTCCGCATGGGTGAGCTTGGCGTCCGTAAAAATTCCAGGGTAAGCCTACCGGCTTTTATATCTTCCGCCCATATGGTACTGAAGAATTAACCAGGAAAATTATTTTTCAATAACTGGTTAATTTTGATGTACCATGTTTAGTGGAAGCTGTGAAAGCTTGGAAAACCGCTTGCCCAAATATTGACCGCCCCGTCAAATCACTCTCCCAGATTGGCTGTGGGTGAGTGGGAGTCGGGGTTATGGCTTCTTGCTTTGCCTTCGTCTAACTTAGGTACTTTATTGGACGACACAACATTCCGCGCTGCAATTTGTTTAAGGCTTGGGGCTTCATTTTGTTCACATCATCGTTGTCGTTGTGGTGAAGATATCAACAACCTTGGACACAACGGCTTGTCGTGTAGCCGTAGTGCGGGTCGTTTTGCTTGACACGCAAGTATTAATGACATAATTCGTCGAGCTCTTGTCTCCGTTGGCGTGCCAGCTACTTTAGAACCTAATGGCTTGGCACGCAACGATGGCAAGAGACCCGACGGTATGTCATTATTCCCTTGTAAGACGGGTAGGCTTTTAGTATGGGACGCCACTTGCGTCGATACTCTGGCGCCATCCCATCTTACAAACTCAGCGTGTCGAGCCGGTGTTGCCGCTGCTGCTGCCGAGAACCTCAAACGGCTAAAGTATGATAGCCTGATTGGCAATTATGCTTTCGAACCGTTTGGGGTTGAAACTTTAGGGCCGTGGGGCCCAAGTGCACATCTTCTTTACAAAGATATTGTAAGGAGGATGGTTGATACTTCAGGTGATCGAAGGGCTGGCTACTACCTTGGACAAAGCTTAAAGGAATTGCCATTCAACGTGGCAATGCTGCCAGTCTTTTGGGCACCCTACCTTACGATGAGGAAAAATTTTTTTTTTTGAAGCATTTTTATTATTATTATAAGTTTTTTTTAAGCTTTAAATATTTTAGTTCATAGTTATTTATATTTTAAGTTGTATATATTTTCTTTTAGTAATAGTTAATATTAATTTTATTTATGTATATTTTTGAAGTAAATAATAGATTTAAACTAATAATATTGATAAATAAAATAAATTAATGAAATTTCTTTAAACATAAATGTTGATGTATTACCGGTTTTCAACAGTTCGAGATTCAACTTCCGAAGTATGCTATTTTACACATTATTACCTTTTTTGAGATATATCACATTCTTAAGGACGCGGGGTAATTTTGATCCATCTCTTTTATGATGCGGTCCTTCATTTACAGGGTCCTTCATATACAGTTACCGGGAAGTTACTTAATATAAATAGAATGGACAAAGGAACAAGTCAACACGAAAATATGTTAATCTACTTTGAGTTCTATTCCGTATGCATAGTGATGGTATTGACAGCATATAAAACTATTTTAACGCGCATGCGTCGGTCTATCGACTACCTTGTTTAAGGTTTTACTCCCGACACGCACGCAAGCACGGCAGTGTTTTAAAACCGTAATAAGCGATCAGAGGCGTTTGTGTATTTGTGTGTGTGTGTGTGTGTACACGTAAGTTAATTATTACCAAAACTAACTGAAAATATCGGTTTACTCACGTAAATATACTGAGAAATAAGTCTACCAGTTTCGATTCTACTAGTTAAGTAGGCTGTGCGACGTCGCCGCACCATCCGCCCGCTGCTCATAAGACAAAAGTCCCTCTGTGTCTCGAAACTAGTAGATCAATTTCTCAGTATACACCGTGAAATCTATATCGTTTTCGTCTCACGGCAAACTAACTTGCCACACGGAGTACTTTCGATGCATAAAGTAATATAAAGATAAAGATGGCCATTGTAATTTTATTAAAAAAAAAAATCACCGGCTTACGCACATGAGACACTAGATTTGACACTAAACTAGACACTAAATTTGTAGGTACTATTTGCATAGCACGTGCCACCTGACGAGTAATACCTCTTCGAGAATTACATAGTGAGATGTTTCAATAATTTACTATGAGTTCGTGTGCGCTTTCTTTGAACGAAGTGCACTTTTTGCAAAATCAAACTTAGTTCACAACTTATTTTTTTGTTAAAATTATTTTATTTCTTTGTAAAACTTTTGTATTATCGACAGAAACATTTTACTTCGATACAAATTCGGTACAAAAACGATATAAACACGGTGTATTTACGTATGTCTCACAATAGTTAATGATTACCTACCTCATAAGCAATGAGAATTAAAAAAAAGACTAGCAATACCCGTTCATGATCGAACCTCACTCCTGGTGAGGTTCGATAAACGGTGACCACACAAATATTTTTTAAAATTTTCTGACAATCGTATTAATTACTCATACAATGTAATTATCATGAACATGTTAAAATATAACTTTCGTCTTTGTCTTTTCAGACGAGTGATTCAAAAGCAACTGCGCCATCTACAACCACAGAATATGGCCGACATCGAACAAAAAAAGACAAATGCGCGTGTGAGTATTAGACACTAATTATATAATGTTCTGTTGTGTGCTGTAAGATGGGGGTGCATCCATGTATGAAATAAGGAATATGAAGTCTCTCGGGCTTAGAAATCAAGATAAGGTTATTCGAAATGAGGAAAAAGCTCTACGAATATTTAAATTGCGGGTTAAGGGTACTGACTAATATCGATGGTTCTTGTTATTTTCTAGGAACATACATAAAAATAATTAATTGTTCATGTTTGTATTTTAGATGAGCGAAACGAGCGATGACCATTCTGAGAATGCTGACTTGGAGTTGGAAAAACCCAATGCCAGCGTGAGTAATTTACAATATAACATAACATAACGTCACGCCTTTTATCCCCGAAGGGGTAGGCAGAGGTGCACACAGAAGTAACACCAACTTTTCAGTATTTATGTTATGAGTCCCATGTAATAGAGGGTGAGCCTATTGCCATATACCGGGCACATTTCCAGACTCCGTGCTACTACTGAGATTTTTTTTTTAAAACCCTTACAAAGTTTTGCCCTTACTTTGCCCGACCCGGGAATTGAACCCGAGACCCCTTGCCCGGCAGTCGCACTTGCGACCACTCGGCCAACGAGGCAGTAATGTACAATTTTGTGTAATTATTAATAAATAAATAAATGTTTATTAGATGTAAATAGCCAGATTACAAAATAAATCTTATCACATATATAAAGTCTAAACTTATATAAAACCTGAACTAGGTACAAGCCTGTGTTTCAGATTAAAAATGTGCTGACATATGTATTATTTAAAGTACAATAACATTGATTATAAAACTAAAAATTAATGTCTAAATTAAATTAACTTAGTATCTGAGTATAACAGGTACTCGTGTACAATTTCATAAACAAACATAAGCAAAAATAACTAAGTCAACTATAATAAAATTATTTGCTTACTTCAAGTAATTCCTCGGTTCGGTCGTATGTTAAGGTGTGTACATAATTATGTAATCATTTCTTACAGTGAAAGTAGTTGAGACTATAAATACTTAATTCTCTATATATTGTTATATAAAAATGGTTCAAGAAAGATAAAGAATCTTTTTATAAGCGCATATTTTGACACTGAGGTTGAAGTGCATACCATATCATTCCGTCTTTTGGTAGTATAATTATTAATGTTGAAGACGCTACTCGTCTTCAACATTAATAATGTTTGAGTATTATTTTTAAAACTTTGCAGTATTTATATAGTATTGATGTAGGAAAGAGAAAAGGATGGGAAAATGCAACTTTAAGGATGGCTCTCTGAGCACGTTCTAGAGGGAGTATAATAGTTTTTACTGCGCCACCCCAAGAAGTAACACAGAACTGGATAATTGACTGACATAATGCTAGGTAGGTTTGAGTGATTAATTTTACATCTTCGATATGTCTACCTAGCTTCACCTAGCTTCACTAACGGACTGACTGACAGACTACTATTTATTTTGTATTTGTTGACGTTTCAAAAGTTCCAAATTATGGTTTAACTGAAATAAATGCTTTGACTTTTGACTTTCTAATATATTTTCTTTAAATGTCCATCAATTTTCTGCCATCAATTTTCTGACACGTGCAACTAATGTGTTGATATGTGTTATTGAAACAGAGAATTTTATCAATTGTGATGCCTTAGATATCTGATGGAAGTATTTTTTATTCACAATACAAAGGCAGGTACCCACTGGACTAATTTTACATTTATGTGCGTAAAATGGGGATGTAGCAGAGGTAAATGTTTGCCATCTTGAGTAGACAATAAACGTTCCGTTTCATACTAGCTCTCAAATACGCCTCGCCAATCAACACGTTGTCGCGTCAAAAAAGTATAAATTAACAAGAAATATGAATAATTTCACGCGAACGAAGTCGCGGGTAACAGCTAGTTTTTTCCCATCCACATAGCGCGGAAACCCATAGCTATAGAGATATCCATGGTTAAATTCTGGGGTTAGGTTGGGTAAAACAATAATTTCAATCAATTTTCTCTCTTTTCACCCTGCCTGCTTTTTTGATATTAAATTAAAATGAAGCGAAATAATAAACATTTTTGATCAAATAAATTACAGTGTATTTGGGACATAATAAGGTAAGTTTCCACCAAATTTCGTAGAAAATAAAATTTATTTGAAAAAGATATAAATAAAAAACCAAAAACTTGGTTTTTTGAATTTTTCACCAAAATTTTGAGGTTATGTGAAAAATCTGCAAATACAAAAGTTGTAGATCTTTTTATTGCCTACAACTTTGCCATTTAACTTTTTTCCATAGGACTTGTAGTTTTGCCGGAAATCAAGATAAACCCTTTTTTACCCTTAACCCCCCCCCCTCCCACTTCCCGAACTCGGATCGACCGTAATTTATTTTTCATTTCATTTTGATCATATTCCCCTCCTTTTCTAATGGGTTTCATCCTACTGTAATTTTTTTTCACTTTTTACCATTTTTGTAGGCTTTGACCCTGGTGTATATGGGCACCGACTTTATAACTTTCAGTAGGTGTTGTAGGTAGGTACTGAGTACAATGAATAATAATATTTTTTGGTTTCTAGTTTATAATTTTGTAGTCGGTTTTTAAACGTAGATAGTTTAATTTTTATTTCTTATTTTTTAGTTTAATAGTTGACGGGAATTAGTAATACAATTGATGATGTAACGCAAATAAATAAAATTAGGCCACATTCATTTCTCTATATAAAATCTAAACGTTAATGAGATTTACCGTCTATAATCAACTTCAAAGATCATTCACAGAAAAGCTAGTTTACATTGTTATAGTAATTTGAGTGCAATGGTAGTATAATTTTGAAAGAGATTTTTGTTCAAACTCCTGACCGTTAAGGAGTTGTATCTTCCATCATTCCTTATTGATATGATGATCATTAGGCGCAAATTGTTAAATAACGTTATGGAATTGTCAGAATAAACGTTATATGTGCTTATAATTTGAGTTACCCTCGATTTCCCTGGAATCTTCTCATCAGGTAATGACCAAACAAAAAAAGAATCACACAAATCGATCCACAAACCTCGGTGTAATCGATACGTGCATAAAAAAGATACCGGCCGACTTGCAAACCACCTACTTTTAGGGAAGTCGACAAAAAAAAATCATTTTAATAAAAGTTGAAACCAAAACTGAAACCTATTCTAAAGACAATAAGGACGTGAACGGTCAGCGAAAAAAAATGTAACTTGTAACAAAATCCGTACGCAACTGCTCACGAACGCAGCTGTATCGTTCTCCAGCGCTGTGATTGGCTATTGCAACGGATCGATGTCAATAGTGAATTCTAGTGAGGGGTAGGGACAGGTAGGTGCAGGATGCAAGTAGAGTTGTTTCTTTCTCGCCATAACATAAGGAATGTTATACATTTCTATTAGTAATCGGGGGTTATTTATACTTGGAAGCAAAGAAAAGGAGTCACTAGCGTTTTTTTTTAATTCCTGATAAATATTTTATAATAAAAGTAATTTATTCATTGATAACGTATGTCAAATAAAAAAATTATTTAGTTACTTTTAAAATGTGAGTATTTGTTGTAAAAGGAATATTTTTATTAGTTATAGAGGAGGGAAAAGCAATGCTAATGTTTCCGTTTTTCCCAAGTGTACATAGTTGACGTTGAGGTCATGTTATGTAGGCGTTCCTTTTTTCCGTGAGGAAACTCCCACTGACATAGCGTACCTGTTGTCACACATATGCTCGACCACAAAACATGTACACATATAATAAGTTTTTTTTATTATGTACATATTTTCTAATAGCCAATCAGCACTTAACATTTACTGCCAATTGTTCGGTTTGGTGAAAAAATATTTATATTCATTTATTAGATGGGCGATGCAGAGTCGACGCAGCACGATGCAGAGTCGACCCAGCACGATGCAAAGTCGACGCAGCACGATGCCGAGTCGACGCCACACGACGCCGAGTCGACGCAGCACGATGCACAGTCCACCAACCGCGATGAAGAGTCAACAGAGCGCGATACAGAGACGACGCAGCGCGATGCAGAGTCGACGCAGCGCGAATCAGAGTCAACGGAGCGCGATGAACACCCAGTGAATGTAGATGACTCAGAGTTGAAAACGGCTAATGCCAGCGTGAGTATATAACAATGAAATTTTAATTAATAGTTATTGCAAGAATTAATTAATGCAAACAAAAAAATATTTCGTTTATTTTATATTCCGTGTTTCGAACCATAGCGGATTTTGCGGATTTTGATATAAATTTACGCCACCTAAACGAAATGACAAACCCTATTTCACCTTTTTGCATTTCAATACTGGATATTTTATCCCAAAAATAATAAGTCTTGTACAAAAGTCCAAAACCTCTATTTTATCCTTTAGTAATTATTATGCAAAAATTTCTGGACCAATATTGTTATTCGTTTTAAATCAATGATCAACATACAATGTTTTTCAGGTGGGCGACTCAGAAGCGGCAGAAGGTCAACCTGAACCTGTGAAGAAGGAATTCAATTTAGAAACAGCTGATGCCAATGTAAGTACCTAAATAACTAATTGATATTGAAAAGCTTATGCAAATAGCTGCGTTTGCGTTTATTCGTATTGCGGTATAATAACAACCGATTCAATAGTTTTGACATGAAGGCTTTGATATGAAAAATTGTTTACTAAACAAAGGCTCTTGCAATATTTGTAGCATGACATTGAATGAAATAAAAGTCTACTTGCGATTTTATTGCTAAGCGGGTTTTAATTAACAGCATGAATACTGTATGGGCGAATTATTCACTGCGATCACATATACTGCGATTTTTTATTCGTTTCAGGGCCGTCTTCCAGTTCAATTTTATCAGAAAATATAGCTCATTTATTTGAATATTTCATAATTCTTCTATACTAAAAACTGTCAAATGATTATTTTATTCTATAGTTAAGAATTATCAGTTGATTGAAATATCAGCCCTTACAAACGCAGCCCAGTTCATGACATGACAAGTAAACGTAGTAAAACTAGTAAAATCTCATAAATACAATGGGTATTTATGTGAACTCATCATTTATAAATAACAATATTACTCTTTACAAAGACTCAAGGAGCTACTAACTACCATATTATATTTCTACATACATGTATAACGAACCGTGGCGTTTACCAAGTTAGAGTTTATGTTAATTAACATTTATTGTTTCATATTTCAGGAGGTAATGGATGAGATCATTCGCGTCACGCAGGTCAACTACGAATATATGAGTAGGTTATCTGTTCACTATAATCATAATAAATGAATAAATTATTACAGCTTGTAAACCTATGTAAACCCATTTACCTAACATATTTGTTTTTAATATTTTCAGAACAGAGAGTGGCGAATCCGGGCCCAGTCGGTCCTAATGGGGAGAGTATGGCTGCAGAAATCCTGAGGAAGTATGAAGAAAAGGATGCGTTACTGGACTTATACTTTGATAGACTGAAGACGCTGTTGCAGGAAGTTACGCCAGGTTTAACAGAGCTGCAAATTCAGCAGCGGCAGCTTGCTGCAACCAGGAAGCTGAACAATGGCATGATATTATTTTAAACTCACTTTTTGATCTAACAAACTATACACAACATACCTATATATAGATATATTCACATCACTGTCACTATAACTTCGATAAAAATACCAAGCTGATTTTAAAACGAATAGGTACATGTAATAAACTGATAATGGCAGACACAACCTCTTTAACGGTATATGTGCCACAGCATTTTCCAAAAACGTTAAATATCTAACCGCTCGCCATAAAATGTAGTAAATCGAGACGTCTCTCGATATTTAATATCAATAAATCGTCGAAAGTATATCTTTCAGACTACTGCATACATACTCATTGCCTACATATCTACCTTCGAAAGAAAAATGTAGTTATAGTACTAAACTTAATAGGACGTCTAGTAATACCATACAGGCTATACTTTAATAATATAAGACACATAATTATTATATGTAAACTCTGGGTGGCACATCGTTGCATCGATGTGAATTTTGTATGTTATTCGTAATTACCCCTTAATATACTTAATGATTGAATATCTTTAGGCACAATTAGTTAACTGATAAACGTCTACTCCTTTGTGTCTTTGTTTCTCTTGTTTTACTTCGGAAGTTACCATCAATCTTTCAAAAGGGGTGTGCCAAAATGTTGGATTAGATTGACTGGAAATGTGAGACTAAGTGTCTGTGTCTTAATTGAACTAAGGCTTTTCGACTGATGTTATTGGGAAAACTCATATTGCATTTTACTAAATGATTATACTCTTGTCTACAAAAAAATAATTTATTAACGTATATAAGCATAAGAATGCGCCTCAAAAACATAAAAAGGCCGTCTTTGTTCAAAACACGTTTTTAAAAATTTTGTACTATTATAATTATATTACAATTGTCAGTAGATTACAATAAGTATTTGAAATGAATTACACATTTGACTGTCATGTTTGTCCAAGTTCATTGTTATACAGAGTGAATTGTTATTAGGGGTATGATCTCCTTACATTAGAAATTTAAATATTATAAGGGATATTTGTCTTTAAATACTTTGACGCACAGTAGGATTTTCTCCTGTGTCGTAGGTGCATTTACAAACATACAATATCACATACACATGACACTCAGACCCGAAACAACAATTTGTGGATCGCACAAAGAGTTGCTCCGTGTGGGAATCGAACTCTACACGTTACGCTGCAGCCGGCTGTCCAGCCACCGCGCCTACCGTGCAGTCATTGATAAACATTTGGGTATAAGTTGTGGAATTTCAAAAGTAAACTTGTAAGTTGAACCTCATTACTTCTTTGGTTCATTGTTTGTCTAATATCTTTGGCATTAGTCCAGGTATGCCGAAGTTGTATACCTCAAATGAAAGTTTAGGACATATAATTATTTTTTGTAAAAAGTCCAAAACAAGTGTCATAATATACTTATGTTTGAGTAACATGATCTGTGAATCTTAAAAAAAAATGTTCATTGAAATGATCTGTTCTAAACCCCATACGAGATTGTGCTCTAATAACAAATCAGCCTGTATATTTGCCAAAAGACTTTGCTGCAGAAATATCCACATTGTCTATTATGTATTCATGGGTCAAATAAGATATCTATTTCCATTCATTAGTTCTCACTACAACGAACTTAGACTTATTTATTGTTGCTATGGTCACTTATCTACTGTATAATCAAGTATTAATAATAATATTTAAAATATCGTAGTAAACATCACATTATATCAAAACTTAAAGCATTCTTTAATAAAGGTTTGGCGAAAATATTATTTCATTTTATCCCCTGTAAATAAAATTTCTGACAGATTTCGGATATAGCCTACTATGTAATAACAGAAAACGTACACATGTATGTGTATATAAATACAAGTTGTTTTTAGTTAAGATTATAGACTTTGTCGCTTAGCGGCTTTATCGTCCCATTGAATTACTGTTGTAGGGACACATGTAAGTATGTATGGCAGAGTGCAAGGCAACCAAATGTATGAGAGCATGTGGCATGCGTGGAACGGATAGCTACTGCGCACTGCTCCGGGTGAACGGTTCCCTCGGGGGTTTACGCGAAATATATCCGGTATCCGAACGCCATGTTTCACTATACCCCTAGGCTATCGATCAGAAGGAGCGTAACTCAAATTCGGGATTTAACCCAACACACGAATCCCTAAAGTGGTGACCCCGACGTGATTGGAAGCAACCTTCACTTCACGAAGCAGATTAGCATCGTCATCCTTATCGTAATCGGTAATCAAGTCGCAGCCAACCATCATCCTCGGCCTCATCAAGGACCACCATCGCCTGCAACGAAGATGTGCAACCTGGTTCTTCCCTACAGCCACAGTAGCGTCTAGGCACAGCACTTCTGCACACGGTTCTGAAGGACATCTCCCGTTGACGCAGACGCCAGCCACTACGCACCTACCTTCGCAGCATCTATTCCCTGACTCGCCGCGGACACTGCGAGCTCATCTCTTCGACTCACTGGAGTATCACCCTAAACCGCTCACCCGACTCACTCTGTATTCAGCGGCACAGTTCCGACTCACTGGAACTAGTGGCATTCTACACTGGTTCTGGCAACGCTCATTTTAAGCATCGACAGCCGTCTCAACAGGATCGATCTCCAGTCTTGGGAGGGAGCGATATGGCGACACATGTCAAATGACAGCATGACAGTTCAAAACAAATCAACGGATGACGCCACAAAAATCCTATATCGCACATGTGAAGTTTACATGCGAATTAACACGGTTAGAAAATCCCAACGAACAACTGTTGGGCAGAAAGCCCGCCAGGCACGATCACCTCGCCCAGTCGGAGGATCCTCCTTTTCCGATCTTAGGGAACTATTATACTCTCTGTTCCCTAAAGTGGTGTACCTCTTTTAGAACGTGGAACCCGTCGTAATGACAACTCCTGAGCAATCAACCGCCAGCATGAGCCTTAAGCCGCAAGCTCCACCACCCAACAAGAAGAAGCCCTTTCAGCGCCCGAAGAATAAGATCACTAACAAGCCACCACCACCAATATATTTATCAACAACAGAAACACCGTTAACAAATGATATGATGATAGTGGATAGTTTCATCATTGATGGCGAGACAGGTTATGTAAATGTGCAAGCTGCTAAAGAATTTAAAGCAGATGCAGTAAGATACATCCGAGTACAAACCGATTTCGGATGTGGACAAATATTATAGCAAATCCGTTCCAGCGAGTGCTTATGCATATTATACATATATTAGGTATATTAATGTTAGGTCCTATGAAATTGCCGTTCTGCAGTACTAGCTATTTCAAATCAAAATATTTTTTGTTTAGATAACAATTCTAATTTCCAATTTATTTTATTTTAAAAATACAGCTTTATTTTTTTTAATTTTTTCGCATTACAATCTTTCTCGTCATCATGGATACAAAATTTGAGTGATTAGTTTGAGTATCATCGCGGCAGCAACGCGGCACAAGCGGCACGCAATATCAACGACGTTTCAAGAGCTAACACTACAAACCAACGCACCATCTGTTAGTGGTTTGCTCGTCACATTTCTGGAAATTTGTACCTGAAATGAAAAAAATAAACCTCGCGCGTTCGAAGACTTTGGTCGACAATGACGAATAAAAGGCGATTGTGGAAGGTGATGATACACAATCTACAACTAAATTAGCAGCAGCTTTTGACGTAGGTCAAAACAATATTGGTCCATTTGCGTCCAATAAGCAAGGTAAAAAAGCTTGACCAATGGGTACTCCACGAACGCCCCGCCCCGCGTCAAGACATATCTTGCACTGCTCAAAAGACACACAAATGAAGGAGGACTGGACTCTGTTTGATAACTGCAAGAGCTCAGCAAGTTGATTGGATCCTGGTTTAGCACGTAAACGATGCCCTAAATTACTCCTACAAAAGTGATGGTCACTATTAGGTGGTCTAACGCTGGTGCGATTCATCACAGCTTCTTATCAAACGGGGTAAGCATTACTGCAGACATGTACTCTGAAGAACCGAACACAATGACGGAGAAGCTGGCACATCTCCAACCAGCATTGGTCAATCGCTCGTCTCCGCTGAAGACTCGTGACTGATTAAAAACCACCTTAGACAAGGCGGGAGAAGCCATTGGATGATTTTCCCCATCAATAAAAAAAGGCCACGGGAAGGGAAATCCCCGAAATTATTCCCTAGAGCCTCACGTAGCACATATACCGTGATGACGACTGCTAAAGTGACATCAGTAACAAAAAAAAAAACTTACTTCACTTATATTCTAAAGTTCTTGAGATTTATTTACATATTGTGTATCTAGTGTATAGCCAGATAGAGCAGAACATTTTAAGAACGTGGGATACAGTTTTGATATTATGTTATTTTTCCGGACCGTAATGAGTTAACTAGGGAGCACTGAGGGTTTTAGCACGCGTTTGTTTTACGTTTAGCGAGAATGAAACATAAAGCAAACTCGTCACTCCGATTGGCTTGCTCCAATGAACCATACAATCAAAACGCCGAACGCGGTAATGTTTCCAGCTCGTTAAATGTAAATCGATTCACAGTGCGTTTCGTACTTTTAAAGGTCGTCCTTTAGAAAGTTAACATTTTTAAAATTCTGTTTCGCGCGATTTCGTCCGCATAGAATAATGAATTCTGACGGAATTCATCAGAATCGATTCAGTGCCTAAGTGAGTTTTATTGTGAAATGAATTTATCATGGTTTCAGAAAATAAATAATTTCGCAAGGAATTTGTCCAGTGTCCGATTCCGTAAGGTTTTAGTGAAAAACTATTCTATCGACTATTTTTGTACCGCATCTCTCTAAAACAAGTTCAGTGGTTAAGAGATAGAGATATAGAGTCCCGGGGCTTTAACGCATAATTCCCGTTCCCGTGGGACTTCTGTCATAAAAACTTTTCGTTTCCCAGGTCTCAACTATCGTTTTATCGAATTTAACTCAAAAAAGATTCAATGCTTCTAGATTTAAGAGATTCAATGGCTAAGAAGATTTATACTAACTCTCATCCCCTATTTTATCCTCTTAGGAATTTATCGATATCCATTATAAGAAGATGCCTACGATGCATACAAACTTTCATCGCCTATTTTATGTCTTTGTGAATGAATTTGATCAAAATCTTTTCTTGGGGGATACCTACGTCATAACACATACCTCCATGCCGAATTTCAACCCGATCGGTTTAAAACTAACAAAGCTTCATAAAAACTTTCATCCCCTATTTTATCCCTTTGGGGAGAAATTGATGAAAATATTTTCTTAGGGGATGCCTAGGTCATAACATTTACCTGCATGCCGAATTTCAACGCGATCGGTTTCAAACTGACAAAGCTTCATAAAAACTTTCATCCCCAATTTTATCTCCTTTGGAGGTAGAAATTATCAAAATCAATTCTTAGCGGATGCCTAGATCATAACATCTACCTGCATGCCGAATTCAGCTTGATCCATCTAGTCGTTTGGGCTGTGTGTAGATAAATCACTATGTCAGTCAGTCAGTCACTTTTGAGTTTTATGTATTAAAATAAATAGAAAACTGATGGTAATAGGAATTTTAAAATATTTACATTAAAAATGTATGTTCAGTAAAGAAGAAATAAAATATATTATCTTTCATGGACGGACAAAGATCATTAATGATTAGAAGCAGTTTCAGTTTCCACAAATAGTTCAGTAATTAGGCCGTTCTACTTGGAAAGTCTTTCGGGAGGTTTGATAATCGGCAATTTTGTAGATTTTGATGTGCTCTTTTCAATTTCCATTTTGCACCTTTGTAAGTGCGCCGCTCGCGCCGCCATCTTGGAAAAATGACAACCAAAAACAGTTTTTTACAATATCTCCATTCCTGTGCATTTTACGAGAAAACCGTAAGCTACAAAATTAAACTATTCACAATTTTATACTATTTAAGTCTAACCAGTTTTTTTGCAATATGCAATGCAACGCAATAGTTTTAGCGCCAGAGCACCGCAAAGTACCTACATTTACAATGAGCATTTAGGGCAAAACAAATAATTTTCACACCACGTAAAAGTAGAGAAAGCGGTGCGTTTTTTATAGTGTAGTCTTTTATAGATATATATTTCCTACTTAATGATCGAACTAAAAGGGCTGGGTGAGTAAGCGCATGCGTAGCTATATTGACAGGATGCCCGACTGCATATCGAGAGAACTAGATTCAGGACGCCCACCCCAGTCTAACTGCTTGCTGCATACTTGAGAGTTGTGTCTATTGTCGTAATTGCTTAGTGGCTTTGGAGCGTTTGTTTACAATGTAAGATCTACTATTTGTTTTTGTTTTGGTGAAAAAAATGTGAAGTCGATCATTGTGTGTGAATATGAGTGGAACAAAGTTTTAATTTGTCACCCTTCATCTAATACAAAAATGTTACCTTTAACTCAAAATAACTTCTTGTTTGTAGATCTAGTGGTCCAAAATAAATTTTGTTGTGTAACCCAAATCCATTAAATCTATATACATCTTGATGATTGTTTAATATCAGTGGGTTCAAAAAATATTCTTACAAGGTTCCAAAGTTAAATTTTTCATTCACATATCTGAAATTCAAAATCTGAAATAAAAAAAAAACTGAAATCCAATGCACTTAAATTTACTTTAAAAAGTTCCTTAGTGTCTCGTAGTAGCCCCTTTCTAACAATATGCCACATATTACAGAAATTATTCATTATGTTTTAAAAACACTACTGCGCCGTATCAGTATTTTACGGGAACAGCACACAACAAGAAAACCATTTATTATTAAAAGTTTACTTAAATAAATGAGGAACTAAAAACTTTAAAAGATAAAAACTTAAAATGCAAAATGTAATAATGTCAATAATCCTATTATTTTTCAGATGGCTGAACACTCAGCCCGATGCAATTGCCAATGTGATCTCCATTACCACCACAGGCCATCAACACCAGACCAATCGGAAGAATTACGCTTTCCCAAGAAAGTGGCTTATTACGAAGTAGACGTCCGTCAAGTTTTCGTAAGTATTCAATATTCCATTTATTAAACCAATAAGCTGTATACAAAATATTACGTTGAGGCGTTTAGATCAGGGCAACGGAATGTACTATAACGTATCATGCTCTAAAGCAGCTCGCGAACTACGACAAATATGTATGTACGCAATATTAAGTTGATATTATTTCTGCAATTGTAAATAAGGCTAAGAAACTACGATTTTTTCCCGCGAGTAAAAATAAAATAATATAAAATGTCCTTCAAACTAAGATATTTGTTTAGTCATTCCAACAGTAAATACGTTCCAATATAGTTTCCGTCTATTATTTGCAGGACGTGCTAAACAAAATTGTGGCGCTTAGTAAGATCCAGATGATCCGTAAGTAACATTTATTACCTGACTACAATAGGGAGAGCTTAATGTACTTATATTTTATGAAATGTTTATTTTTGGACATCATTTTTAACCATGAGTCTGATCTTAAACATATCGAACTACAGCTGTATTGAGTCATTGGGGGATTATTGAAAAGGGTTGTACGCTTCGCGTTAGACAAAATTATCCAACAGATAACTATACATTTCTGTCCCATAGACGACCAATTCGATAACTTTTCTTTTCTTCAAATATCACTTTGTATTCTCAATATACGGCTCTTATTATCTGTGTTTCCAAAACTTCTTAATCCCAACCGGACACACCGGTGACCTCGTGTCCACAAAATATAATGTTTCATTGATGGTTGGTTGGAGAGGCTTTCATGCAAGTGTATGTACCTATATACATATTCTAGATCTAACTAATGATGACGAGTTAATAAAACACACGTAGTAGTCGGCCCAGAATTTATGATTCCATAATACTATTGTAAATAAAAGCTACTACACTATTGACGAATATATAAAGGACATATTTCAATTATAATAAACATGAATAAAAGCATAGTGCAAAATAACCGTGCAATATGCTGAATAAAATAAAATAATAATAATAAAATATATGATGAATGTAAACAAATATTGTTAATATAAATAAATATAGGTAAATAGGCTACGGATGTAATGAATACCCACTCAAACTTATAACTTTAAAATTTTCTTCTCGTATTCAATATTTTAAATAAGTCTTCTTCATCCACTCCTCTATAAAAAACTACTTTTGCTCTGCCCCACAAGCTCCATAATAGGCGTGTCGACAGGGTAAAAAAATCAAAAAAGTAATTAGTCCGTCATTAAGATCGCACGAAAATATCAGACACGTATTTTTTGTTTTATCAAATTAACAGAAGAATACGTAGTTATTCCGCATTAAAGTTAGGGAGTGGGGGGTGTTGACGTCACACTTACGGAGAAATCGTACCTAAGTGTGACGTCACGCGTCATTTTAATTCAAAATATCTACATGTTTTTTTGGATACGAGAAAAAAGAAAAAATACGTATCGAAGATTTTTAAAATATCTAAAAGACGGACAAAAAATTAAAAAATAGTCGCCATGCCTATTGTGTCCTTCTAATAATGCCAACTATTGTAAAATACAATATGGAATACAATATTGAGTAAATTTATCGGGAACACTTGGTTCGTCTAAAAATGATATTCTTTTTCTTACTAATGCAGTTGGCCCAGAATTTATGATTCTATAATACTGAAGCAATATTCAGTAACGTTACCAAAAACACAGTTTAAAACATAAATAATAGTAGCAGCAAGAGTCGACAGACTGGCACAGGGTGTACTTTTTGAACATTACACATAAGTCATTGTATTTTAATAACTATATAACTTAGATTTTTTTCCTTTTTCTGATAACTGTTGGTACTTTGCCGATCATCTGGTGCCATTTGATCGTCGATAATAGGGACACCCCGTAAAAGTAATTGATAAATAAAACATAATAATCACATAGATAATAGATTATAACCTACAAATTAAACGCAAAAACACAATTACTACATTTATAGTAAATTTTGAGTCGTTTACATAAACGTAACTACGCACGCTTGTTGTTTTACCTACATACGTAAACACATATAGTACTGTATTGGCAAAGGCTTACAAAGTTACAAAGTCAGAAAAACTTGGTGGTCGAGAGTTCCCTTCCAAGCACTTAATCATTACATGGAGACCGGAATCCGGCGAGTACATTCCATTGCTCTCTGAACAAATATGTGTAATGGCAATGTTCTTTAACGACTAGACTAGGGAGAGATGGGAGAGATGGTCGAAAAACAACATCGATTCCTAACTACTTCCTTTTCATCACGAAACACAGAAGCATTATTGTAATTATTATTTTTTAATAAATTTATTTAGATAAATTTTACAAAGCAGTGGCCTTAAATCTAAACTCGGCAAACTTTAACGTTTGATGGTAAGAAACGCTCATTAGTCAAACAATTCAATTATATTTATAATATGTAGATAGGTACAATTTCAGTAATTTTTGTTATAATACCTGTACTACTGAATAAAATAACTTCCACACAATAACTAACTCTTTTTCATAAGACAACTAAGTAATAAATATAATACGAAACCTCAAAAATTAGAGGTACAAAAAAAAAACAACTTTAAACTATATTTTTTCCCATCTCCTCTTAATATGTCTATCTGTTTAAATACTTTAGATACTAAGTAGGCGAATGTTCTTTTCCCATAATATTCTTTTATATCTGGTATAGTAATTTTACTTTCTCTGACTCTACGTGTATTGGATTTCTTGGTAACATTATTTTATCATTTAATTTTATCATTATAATAGTATTCTAAGCCAATTAAATAATCATTTTTATCTATTGGTATGATTTTACAAATGGGAAACAATTTGTCATAGGTACATATCGCACTAAGTCTATAATATCATTCAACATAACACAAAAACCTAACCTAACAACCTAATAAAAGTGAAGAGAATCAAAACATTATTATGTACATTACATGTTTAAGCAAATAATCAAACAATATCCTAATTCATCCGATTCGGTTTTTGTATTGTTTAATTGTGTAAGCCTTGGATTAATAGGCAATACCATTATTGATCGAAAAAGTAAGCAGTGAATACTGCAGCAATTAATTGTATTTTAATTTTTAGGCAGGTATACTTCACTGAAACAGGTTCTTATATTGATTGCAGGAGACAGATACATCTCTCCAGACTCCAGCTACGACACACTTACCAATATGTTCCGTTTGAAAATGAAAGATGATGCTAATATGCAGGCACATCTGGCGGAGATGATGTACTTGTTGACGAGACCCCATCGGGTAGAATACGAATTCGAGCCTAGGGCCAGCTCTGGATCCGATTCAAGCACAAGTACCAGTTCTGGTACTGCATCTGGTTCTGGTTCCGGTAGCGCGACCGAGTCTAGTGCTCGTTCGCGCTCTAGAACGCGCCACAGCTCTGGCACGCGTCGCGGCACTGATGACCGCTACAACTATAGCTCCAGTTTCCGCTACGGTCACGGCTCCCGTTATGGCTACGGTACCCGCTATGGCTCACGCTACGGCCCCGACTCACGCTACGGCCCCGACTCACGCTACGGCCCCGACTCACGCTACGGCCCCGACTCACGCTACGGCTCCAACCCACGCTACGGCTCCAACTCACGCTACGGCTCCAACTCACGCTACGGCTCCAACTCACGCTACGGCTCCAACTCCCGCTATGGCTACGACTCCCGCTATGGCTATGACTCCCGTTATGGCAACTCGGACAGCCGCTACAGCTACCGCACTCGCAACGCTTCCCGCCACGGTTCTGGCACCCGTAATGACTCAAATTCCCGCTAAAATCTCGGTCCTCTCGCTACAGTCAACAAACTTCGTTGAGTGACTGATAATATAATTATATAAATTGAAATGGTTTTCATTTGCCATTGATATATCTACAGTACTTTTAATAGGTATTATTAACAAATACGGCAATATTTATCAGTCAAAATTAGATACGCACTTTTAAAAATAAACTTTACAATTGCGATTGTTCGGTTTACTCCTCACCCTAATGAATATCATATGTATTAATGGATTTTTCTGTAAATATTAATACAGCTGGGGAACTTTGCCTGCTAGGGAATCTACTACTGAGAAAGAGCCCCTAACGCCAGCAGCTTTGTTCCTGCTTTATTTTAAATAGTTAATACATGTTTAATTGTTTAAAGAAGTAAGAATTAAGACTTAAGACCCTAGCACACTTAACCGGCACGACTCCAACCCAGCTATTAACTAAATAGTCATTAAAATTTGAACAATACATCTTATGTCATATTTTAATAATAAAGCCGTAACTGCGTTATCAGCCTTTTTGTATTGATTCCATAACAAAAACCGCCGTGTCGGAGCCGTACTTGTTAATTGTGTAAACTTTTATGATTCATTTTCTATGATGCCCATAATAATCTATATCTATACATGTAATAAAACTGTAAATTCTATTCATTGAAAATATTAATAAAGTAAAAAGTGGGGGTGTTACTAGATAGATACCGAACCCAAAAATACGATTAAAAATATTTTGTTTGCCTGTCTGTATGTTTTACGCATCACGCAATTACTACCGGTTCGATTACGATACCGGTCTGATTATACTTAATATCCTTGGCATAACACTGGGCACTTTTTATCCCGAATATGCAGAAATATCTAACGAAACTCATCTATTTACGTATAAATCTTAGTTTGCTTATTTATACAAACAGAAACTCAAATTCCATTTTAAAATGAGTCTTTTAGCAGTTTTGTAGTGTGTACAAAAGTATTTATAACATCTATTGATAATAATTATATGTATTCAACCTAAAAACACTAAATGTTGCCCCATACTAGGATTTTCTTTTGTGTAGATTTAATGTAAACTGTAGTCAAGGTGGGTCAGGATTCAATAAAAGAGCTTTGTAACTCGTGAAACTTGGAATTTTACAACTTTACTAAAACTACAATATTATCAAAACGTGTTACGAAAAACTCCCCACAAAAATGTATGATATACGATGTATGTACTGCGACCATGCGGCAATGAGTTTATATACCGCTTTAAAACTATTTCAAAGTTATATTAACTAGCACATATGATTAACATACTTGAAAGATGTGTAGTAGACGAGATATCCAAGAGATACCCAACACCATCATAATATCGGAAGGGAGTATCTATTTATCACAGACTGAAGAAAAACTAAGCGAGACGACTAAGAGTTGGATGGTTGGTCTTTTGAGGCCAAGCACTGTGAACAGGGAAGAGAACAGTCTGAGACCATGAAGCTTTTTGGCATTTAATATCTCATAACGTAAGATAATGCCATCATTAGAAAGAGTTGCATTTCAAGACCGGTAGGCTAAGTATTTATCAATCATTATATACTAAAACATTATCCATGGTTAAACTTGAATAAAATAAATACATTTAATAAACTGTAATTTTATTATCATCCTTATTAAATTTACTGTAATAGTAAAACTTACCTACCAACAGCAAGTACCAATGTGACTTTTTCTAAGTTATATGTACTTTCTAAGATTATTTAGACACCACTGACAAACGGTGAAGGAAAACATCGTGAGAAAACCTAGGCTTATAATTTCCAATAATAAGTTTGTAATCACCAACCCGCATTGAGCAAGCGTGGTGATTAGTGCTCAAACCTTCTCCTCGTGAGAAGAGGCTTTGCTCAGCAGTGGGCATTTATAGCCTGTTGATGATATATTTAAAGTAAAAAAATATTATTTTTACAAATGACGCGGAGTGGACGACGTGGTTTCAAAATAACTATCAGGGGGTGTGTCTAGGGCTAGGTTATACTGCTTATACTGTGGTGTGTCAGGTATTGTGTGCGGAGCTGAAAATAAACCCTGGATGCCAATATACTAACTGATTTATTACTTTTAAACTTTTTACAATATTAATTGTCCTTATGAGCGGAATGAATACAAAACTAGTCGTCGATCGATGATCGATGATCCGGCGCACTCCCATATATACACTCCGTGACGAGGAGGGGGGGAGGCGGGCAGACCCCCCGCTCTCGACGTAGGGTTAGGCGTCAACATCCTCCCCCCTTGAAGGTTGCTCCTTCAACCAATTATCGCTGTTGAACAAGGGGCACAAGCGATTTACTGCACGACGAACGGTACCATTAGCTGTCCTGACGTCGGCTACTCTGGCCACTTCATCCTTGCCCAAATGCAAGTCCTGTATCCGCCCTATTTTCCATTTCAAGGGAGGCAAGTTGAGATCCTTAATGAGGACCATATCTCCAATTTGTAATTGTATATCCGCATGCCGCCATTTCGTACGATGTTGCAGTTCAGTGACGTAATCATGCTGCCATCTCATCCAAAAACATTGTCTCATATGTTCTAATTGTTCGTATCTGTGAAGTCGATTGCAGTTAATGTTTGACAAGTCAGGAGAGGGAAGAGCTATCAATGGTTTACCGACGAGAAAATGCCCAGGAGTAAGGGGTTGGAGATCATTAGGATCGGAAGACATAGGAAATAAAGGTCTGGAATTTAGTATGGCTTCCACTTGAACGAATAATGTGGAAAGCTCTTCAAATGTCAAGTGCTTGTTTCCTAATATTCTTTTCATATGAAATTTAGCCGATTTCACCCCTGCCTCCCATAGTCCTCCAAAATTTGGGGCATATGGCGGTATGAATGAGAATTTCATACCTTCATCTGAACAAAAAGTATTTATATGTTCCTTGTTAGTTAATAAAAACTTATTTAGTTCATTGCTAGCGCCTAAAAAATTTGTCGCATTATCGCAATATATTACATTAGGTTTTGAACGCCGCGAAATAAATCTCCTAAGAGCCAATAAAAAGGCGTCAGTACTCAAGTCACTGACAACTTCCAAATGCAGAGCCTTAGTTGCAAAACAAACAAATAAACACATGTATGATTTACTGATTTTACAACCACGACCCTTCCTGTCAGTTATGAGATATGGACCGGCTAAGTCGACTCCAGAAGTTTCAAAAGGCGTCCCTGGCTTCAAACGTTGCATGGGTAAGTTCCCCATAATAGGCGCTATTGACTTAAACCTAAATCGCTTACAAACTATGCAGCTATGAACTACACTCCTAGCTATTTTTCGAGCATTAATTACCCAATATTGTTCTCGAACAGCTGATACCATTAATTGACATCCACCGTGAAATAGCTTAATGTGTTCGTTTTCAAAAATAAGCCTCGATAATCGGTGATTGGAATCCAACAAAAAGGGATGCTTTTTATCATAGGGAAGAGGTGCGTTGCGAATACGACCTCCTACACGCATAACTTTAAGTTTACAATCCATAAACGGACTAAGAGATAATAATTTACTTTTCTTACTTAAGGGCTTATTGATTAATAACTGATGATACTCACTACTGAATGAATCTAACTGCGACAATTTAACTAAATAAAACATGCTCTCATTGCATTCATCAACACTAAAATAACTACAACTAAGTCTATTTTCACGTTGCTTAATTCTACAATTCTTTATAAATCTAAGGACGTAGGCCATGGTATATTGTAATCTCTTTAGCTTAGAATAACGTTCAAATTCAATTAAATCATTTTTAATGTTTACATTTGCTACCAACGTGCTTACAAGTTTCACTTCAGGTAACTGGACATTTTTTAATTTATTCCTGTCTACATTCGGCCAATCAGTCTCTGATGACGATAGAAAGGGTGGCCCACCCCACCATAATTTCTGCACGGAATCATTCATTATATCTACGCCTCGGGAAATGTAATCAGCTGGGTTTACATCTGTTGGTACGTATCGCCATTCACAATCCTTTGTTAAATTTATAATTTTAATTACTCTGTTTGCAACAAACACCTTTAATTGTTTTGAAACTGCGCGATCGGTACGCAACCACCCGAGCACGATCATCGAATCCGTCCAGTAGACACAACGAACCACATTACAACGCAAGGAGTGAGTCACCTTTTCTCCTAACTCGGCGGACAACAACGCGCCGCATAACTCAAGCTTAGGTATAGTTAGACCCTTTAATGGAGCGACCCTTGACTTCGCGCAAAGTAATTGAACATGAATGTTTCCGTTTCGACTGATTGAGCGCACATAGGCGCATGTCCCATATGCACACATAGAAGCATCAGAAAAAAAATGAAGTTCTATATGTACTACCTCGGCACACATGACATGCCTAGGTACTTCAACACAGTTGAGAGAATTCATGGTTTTAATAAAGTTGCGCCACAAAGTTTGTATTTCTCCCGTTACGAGGTCGTCCCATCCATACTTATCCAACCACAACTTCTGTAGTATTAATTTAGCCTTAATCACAAAAATACTTAAAAGACCTAGCGGATCGAAAATTTTTGCAATAGAAGATAATATACTTCGCTTGGTAATTTTTTCATGGTTGTCTACTTGTACACAAAATTTTAATACATCAGACTCGGGCGACCAAGTTAAACCTAAAGTGCTAGTAACCGTTTTGAATTCAGTAATGGATTGCACTTCATTTGATTTATTTTCGCAACATAACTTAGATGCGTTTGATCGAAATTTTCGTAAGTTAAATCCAGCTGAACTTAAGGTTTTAGTAATTATTCGGCAAATTCTATTTAAACCCTCCTCAGTCTGATGCCCAGTAATTAGGTCATCCATAAAAAAATCACGCTTAATTATTTTCTTTATCTCTAAATCATCACACTCATGTGATAACTGTAAAAGACAACGAGTGCTTAAAAACGGAGCGGACGCGGTTCCGTAGGTAACAGTGTTCAACTTTAAATACTTTAACGGTTCGTAATCACTATCCCTCCATACTATCATTTGCAAATGTCGTTGACTTTCCGATATTAATATTTGCCTATACATTTTCTCAATATCTGACGTCATGACGTATTTGTGTTGCCTAAACCTGAGCAATATGCTGCATAAATCGTCTTGAATAACTGGACCTACCATTTGGATATCATTTAACGAATACCCGCTACTCGTTTTCTCTGACGCGTTGAAAACGACACGAAGTTTCGTGGTCTCACTTTTTTCGCGAATGACGGGATGGTGCGGTAAATAGTATCCAAAGGCAGGCTTCCTAGTCTCAGACAAGTGATTTAATAGTTCATATTCCTTTATAAATTCTGTATAGGAACTCTTCACGTCAGGTTGTTTCTTAAACCGTTTCTCTAAATTAATAAAACGTGATTTAGCCTTCCCTAACGAATCGCCTAGTATGGAAGGAGAGGTGTGAAATGGCATCTTCACGCAAAACCTACCGTCACTCAATCTAATGGTATTTTCTACAAAATGTTTTTCACAAATTTCTTCGTCAGAGCTATACGGCTTTTTATTTATATTTAAGACTTCTTCAATTTTCCAAAATTTTTCTAATTGTTCACTTAAACTTGTAGTTAAGTTACATTTTACCTCATACCGTGGAGCAGTCCTACTATATACTGGACCAGTGACGAGCCAACCTAACTTGGAATTCTGCAATGTGGGAAAACCCTTATCTAACTTTATTTGCTGGCCGGTCACTATGTCCCAAAACAAATCTGCTCCTATTAACATATCTACGTCGGCAGGTTCATAAAATCTACTATCCGCTAAATTCACGAATATGTCACCGGGAATATTCAATTCATTTACCTTTACCTTTACATTTGGTAACTTATTCGTAATTTTTGGCAAAATCATGCAGTGAACTTCTACCGAAAAATCGCTATGCATTGAGTTTATCAATAACTTACAGCTATTTGCTACTTGTACTTTACTATTTCCTATACCATAAATACTCAAACTTTCATCAGTTCCTGTGCGCGACAACCCTAATTTATTACATAAGTCTACAGTTACAATCGATATTTGGCTACCAGAATCCAGCAATGCGCGTGCCACATAATATTTATTATCTAATTTGTTCAATACTTTAACTAGCGCGGTTGAAAGAAGTACGTGTCTAGTGGCGATCGTAGATAAGGAAACCGGTTCCGCGGCGAGCTGCGCCGCCGGAGCGGACACATGTGACTTAGGCACAGTGATCAACTCGGACGGCATTGAGGTTACTCCCGGTTCGATTATCGCCTGATGCACACTGCTGTTCGAATTAACATTTTTATCTGTTGTTTGAGGTTTATTCCTATGCAACAAGGAATTATGTTTATACTTGCATATTTGACAGCCAGATGATTTACAATTAAACGCGCGATGTCCAGGTTTAAAACAATTAAGACACAATTTATTTTTTGATACAACTTCGTTTCTTTCTGTCAAACTCATAGAAATAAACCTCGTGCACTCGAACAAGCGGTGATCTTGTTTACAAACGACACAATTCAAGGGACGATTATTGTTAACCTGAGCAGACGCAATCAAATTCGTAGTCCTTTCATTTTTGCTATTTCCACTTAATTTACTAGACTTGCTCGATTCGATTACGTCAGCTCGATCACGTAAAAATCTAAAGAATTCTTGAAGTGTTGGTATATCTCCTATAGAACTTTTATATTCTTCCCATTTCCTAGAAGTTGAATTATCTAGTTTATTTACTGATAAGTGAATTATTATGGTATCCCAATATTCTACCGGTTGTTCCAACGACTTTAAACCCCTCAGATTCTTAGTTATATTATCAATCATAAAACGCAATGATTTTTCAGACTCCCTTGAAACACATTCCATATTAAATAATGCTTTCATATGATTACTTATTAAAAGTCTTTTATTGTTAAATCGTTGACACAGTAAGTCATACGCAAGGATATAATTATCTGAACAAAACGATAGTGAGTTGATTATTAATGCCGCACTACCCTCTAATGAGGATCGTAAATAATGAAACTTATTTATTGGGTCAATATTTTCGTTTTTATGAATTAGTGCGTCGTACGTATCTCTGTACTCTAACCATTTGCTATAAGTCCCATCAAAGGTGGGTAACTTAATTGTGGGTAATTTTATAGAACTAGTAAATGCGTCTGCACTTTCGAAACTTCCAGATTGTCTAAAGGATTGATGAACTAGACTTTTACGTTTAGCATTAACTTCTAATTTGTCTAAAATGCATTGCCCTTGAGAAATTAAAGAATAAAATTGACCTTCGATCTCAGAACGAATTTTCATTTGTTCGCTCGTATCCTCAGATTCAATTTCAATCTCGGACTGTAAATCATCAAATGTTGAGAAACACGCTTCTAATTTAGCTAATCTTAATCGTAGCTCTGAAATTTGCTGATCTGATAGTTTTTCTAGATCGTTAATATCCTCTAAATACGATTTAAAAATTGTCAGTCTACCCTTAATGTAACTTCGTCGTTTCATTGGCTCTGCGGCTTTTTTGGAAGCTAAAGACATTGCTGAATACGACAAATCCTACGTTGTGTAATTAAATTAAATAATCCTCACGTTTTAAACAAACAAACACCAGAATATCAGAAACTTTACCACAAAATCTATCAAATATCGACACTAGGAAAATATTAGTAGGTAGATGGAAAAAAAAGGAATGGGCTCACCAAATTTGGCGTATATAATTATCCCTTTGCTATACTCTCTCTTCCTTATATCCCTTAATCTCCTTGTATCCTTAGCCTTTTCCTTCAATTTGTTCTCCTTTGGTATATACAATTTCCAATATCCTGATCCTGGTCACGGCACCAAAATGTCTAGGGCTAGGTTATACTGCTTATACTGTGGTGTGTCAGGTATTGTGTGCGGAGCTGAAAATAAACCCTGGATGCCAATATACTAACTGATTTATTACTTTTAAACTTTTTACAATATTAATTGTCCTTATGAGCGGAATGAATACAAAACTAGTCGTCGATCGATGATCGATGATCCGGCGCACTCCCATATATACACTCCGTGACGAGGAGGGGGGGAGGCGGGCAGACTCCCCGCTCTCGACGTAGGGTTAGGCGTCAACAGGGTGATTAGTGATCGATACTGCCAAAAATGCAGTCAGTAAAATGTTTGTCTGTATGTCTGTCTGTCTGTTCCTTATAGAAACAAAAACTACTCGACGGATTTTAACGAAACTTGGTACAATTATTCTTCATATTCCTAGGGAGGTTATAGTATACTTTTCATCATGCTACAATCAATAGGAGCAGAGCAGTGAAGGAAAGTGTCGGGAAAATGGGAGCAGTTACTCCATTTTTTAGGCTTCCGTCGCGTCAGCAGGTTTAAATATTGAATAGTTAAAGCTACAAAGAAATCATGTATGACGGAAATGTTCTACATAAAATTATCTAAATAATATCCGACAACAGCACACGTCTATCTTTTATGTTTGACTCACAATAACACTGACACTCCCGATAGCTCCAGATCCAAGAGGATCTAGAGAACCTTCTTAGGTACGATCGTATAAAGTTGTAATGGTAGACAGATAGTGTCTTTTTTGTTTTGTTTAGAAGATCATCATACCAAATTCTATCGAGAGCCCGTGACATGTCAAGGAAAGAGGCGGTAAAATATGCTTTCTTTTCAAGTAATGGGACTATACCTTTAACGAGCGGGCCTGCGGAGGTCGAGCATGGGTGACTCCCCGTCCGACTAGAAACAGACCCGATCGTAAGGCGCGTCGCGTTCCGCGCGCGCCTCAAAGAGTCATCAGACCACCACGGATGGAGCCCAACAGGAATGATGCCGATTCGGAGTCGCGAAGAACCTAACGGTTTACTGGGGCTCCAGCTCGACGTGTAGAAAAAGGAACGGGGAGGTTTTTAGCCAGTAAAAGTCTGAAACTCCCTCCCGCCTCACCCAGGCGGGAGCAGTCATTCGAAGATATTGCCCACTTAAAAAAAATCCTTCAAGGAGTCTACATATTTGTTCAATGGTGTCATTTCTTAATCCAAAACTGAATTGGAAATAAAGAACGTTGAAAAAATGGCGGACTTAATGTCACATATGTGTGCGTGTGTAATGGGTCACCACGTTACCAAACTTTAGAAAATGACGGATGCCATTAGTGTCAATGTGTGTATGTGCTGTCTGTGTGTAACTCTGTAATAGTAATAACCAGGTGCCACAGTCATTATTTCAAGAGACTGTGCCCGCCTGTTTTCAACGTCCTTGTAAGTATTAATTTGTATTCATTGATTATGACGATAAATAAAACATCAATTTTTATTTGATAATTTTAATACGTAGTACAATTACATCGTTATTATTATTATTTTATATAAATACATAAGAGTATACTTCAAACGTCATCCTATCAAGTGTAAAAAAGTAAGAAAGGCCATTAATGAGATTGTTATAATTGTTTTATTACACAAAAATAGTTGAAATTTAGGTAGGCATAAAAAAGCCCCTTTTAAGAAATACAATCATACCCCTGCATTCTCTCTAGTAAAATGTGATAATTCCTGACATACTAGTATACCCTTCTACATCGTATTTTGCCAGTCACAATTTTTATTGTGGTATGTTAAGACATGTTTTTAGCGCAATATCAGGGTAAGCTATGCAAAGAAATCAGCTGATACAATAATTAAGGAACAACACTTATGACTCGACCAATATTATGTTAAGAAAAGACTGGACTTATCATTTGAGAGGTTTGATGAAATATGTTAATATTTCTTATCATAATAAATATATTAGTATATTAGTGAAAACTACTGTTTTACATCACTACACACATCGAAAGAAAAAAGCACTCAGTACAGAGCACATACTAATAAAATATATTATTACATCTGATAAACTGATCTACAATCTAAGTCCTTAAGTCATCGCTGATCTATAGCTACTTACTGGTAAAGAGAATTAAGATGTTAACTCATTAGAAACACTCACTTTTAAACTTAAAATGTAATAATAAACTGAGCAAGATTATTATTTATTAGATTGTGCTTCATTTTACAATCAAATTGCTGCATCAACGTATGCAATTTTTGTTTTAAGTTATTGACACAAAAAACTTTTTCATTAATTATATGTGTGTTTAGTTATTAGCTACATACACCTATGCGACCGATTTTTAAAATAATTATTTGGTTATATCTGATATTAATCGATAACTTGTAACAGACACCAGACTCAAAAAAGTTCACATTTTCGTCCTGTCTAAAACGATCTTTCAACATTTGAATTAATGCGTGTCAAAAGTTACATTTCATGATAAAATAAATTTATTTTAAAAATCAATTCATCCTGTCAAGCATGTTGAAGTATCTTCTCTTCAGACTTCCACAAATGCTACAACGTTTTAGTATCTACGGCACCAATACTTATAGACAACCAATATATTATTGTTTTATGTAACAAGCAAAACTAACTGGTGCATGAAAGGAAACATTAGTTTAATATTTTTGTAAATTTATAAAGGTTTTGCTGTTTCCATGGAAATTGTGGCTATTTAAGCTTCAATTTGTATGAAAAACTCAGAATATTTTTAATGAATTTCTTTTTAATCCTCATTTCCGTCGTCTAAACTAGCGACAGCAAGGTATTGCGTATATTCAGTTACATTATATGTACTTCAATTACTTCACTCACAAAGCCGTACGTTTCAGCGGTTGATTTGAGTATATTATCCATCCAATTTAAATGTTAATTCGTTCATTCCAAAAAATCAGCCTTTTCATTCCTAATAAGTAACACCTATACCGCCGTGATATTAAATCCTAAATTACTTTTAGTCCCACACATAGTTACCTACATACACACACTCGTTTAAAAGTATACAGCGTTGCGCTGCTTTTACAAATTATATGCAAGGTAATTGGTGACATGACACTTCCCTTTACATTATTTATTCCCTTGGAAAATCAACAGCCATACAATTTGAATAGGAAGAATGTGATTTGTGACAAAAAGCCAATTACAGATTTGTACGATTAGTAAATGACTATAGAAAAACATGTCAATAGATTACATGCCCTTAAATTGGTGTTACCAGATATCGTATTACAGTCGAATAAATGCTTCTTCTTCCTTTCTGTATATTATTTAAAGATGCGCACGGACCGCACGGATGAAAATACTTATACTCAATTGGGTAACAATGTTCTATTATTACTGTTAACATTTTCGTTGGTCGTTCTACAGAGTTGTCGACACTTGAGGGTGTTGTTAATTGTCTACATTACTGAAACGTGTTTGTTTGTTTGTTTATGATATTGTAGAAATTGAAATAAAATGTTTGAATTCCATTTAAAGTAAATTTTTACAAAATTGTATGAGGTTTCCGGCTAAGGTGTTATTTACGTTGATTACATAAATTGTTTTCCTATGATGTGAAAATGGTATTTTTTATACTAGGGTGAGGTAGGAAAAATCTATTGTTTTTCCACTCAATTACAAAGCCCGCACAGAAGTAGATCATGTCACCCGTAAACACTGTACATATACATATAAAATACAAGTTTAACTATCTTCAGTCTTCAGGGATCCTTACAATGATGATACGTACGTTGGAATGAAATGGTATGCCTTCCCTCTTAGTGCACAATATTCTTTTAATGTGATTTTTAAATACATTGTTTTTCGTTTAAGTTATTTAAACTTATATACTTTCATATACTTTCAACTCAATTATAAAATTCAATAGGGTCTTAATTATTATTATTGAAATAACACAAATTCTTGTTGAACTTAACGGTGAGCGGTAAAATAGAAAAATTCTACCCCAAGGGATTCACACAAAATTTGCTCGTTTTACGTTTTTTATCATACCGATTTGTAAATACGCATGTCATGAACTAAATAATGAAATGTCTAGTAACTTAAACAACTTTCAACAAACGACACCAAACACCAGCTTACTTTTTAAAAGAACGTCAAGAACGGTATCGTAACATTTGGCGGTCTATTGCTAATTTTAAATTAAAACCGTATATAGCTACATCAATAAAGTATCAAGGTGTGAACCCCTATCTGGTAGGTCAAAATTCTTGTTCTCTCTTAATGGTTTGAACGAGATGGTAATGGACGATCGTTCACCTCCGTGACTACAACAGGCATAGTAGAATTAGTAGATCTAGCAGTCAAGAAGCGGCGTCTTTGCTTCTTCCGCCTCTTTGTCTGCTGTTGAAGATATTCTTCTTCATCATCAGATGATGATGTCAATCTGCTGCGTTTTAAGCTTCGGAACTCGGATGTTGTGCGGTCTTCCATAAATAAAGTCTTGATTTTCTTAATGTATTCACTAACTTGTCTGACCTCAGTCGAATCGGCTTCTCGCTGTACCGGCGAAGCAGATAAGTCTACCAAAAATAGCACATATGATTTATCAAATCGGATAGTTTAGCATATATAGGAAGGTCATAATATTATATTAGATTAGCTACTCCCACGAGGTTTCAGCCGCTGTTCGTATCCTATTGACCACAACGTGACGTAATGGACTAAGTAGTTCCAGAGATTAGCCTGTTCAAAAAAAACAATAACAAATTCTTTAGGTTTATATGAATATTATATTATTACTGACGGACTGACTGACAGACTATTATTTATTTTGTATTTGTTGACGTTTCAAAAGTACCAAACTATGGTTTAATTGAAATAAATGCTTTGACTTTTTTTGACTTTTGATTGTACATAAAGTACACACATAGTATACATATTATTTCTGTCTCGAAAGTTTGGGAAAAGTAAATTTCGGAGTCTATTCGTTACAAAGAAAAAATAAATAGGTATAAACATTTTGTTGATACTCTTTATGTTGACTTATTTCGGGTATTATTTGTAAGTGATTTTATTTCTGTATTTATTAAGTGGGTACTTACATTCCAGGTCTTCGTCAGCATTTACTTCCGGTTCCACCTGTACACCCAATTCCGCCAGGAATTGTTTTATCAGCTCCTTAAAGCAGAAGTTTTCGCCATTAACAACTAATAAGACAAGTAACGATAGAAATAATTGAGCTGATCTGTACCTTGATCTGTCTATAAGTTATAACAATGGCGCCAATTGCTTTTTCAATAAAACCTCTACTGCATTGTTGGCATTTAACAACAGTCGCAATATATGCTATGTGTGAGGACCTTATCTAGACTTTTAATGCGTTATTTCATAAAACTGCTAAGCGCAACACTTCGCTATTACAGCAACTCAAACACGGTATAATTCATAAACAAAACATTACTGTGCCTTATTTGGATATTATAGGTATTTGCCATCGATGAACCTATCGTTGACTATTTCTAGGACGCTAAGCTTAAACTCGAACCGTTATTAAATATCATCTCTTCTAAAGATGCATAAAACAACGCATGTCTCACTTATTAGTATTTTTTTTTATATTTAATTAAAAACCTTTACTTAAAAAGTAGAATATATTACTAACAAGCAACTTAAGTACATTTTATTTCGCTTCATATCAGATTTAGTAAATTCTTTATCAAAACATATAAATAGTGGTATCATACCTTACGTATGGCTGCCCTTTTCGATTGATCCATTATAAATGCAGAGTTTCTACGCCTGCTAACACCCGGTTTTGATGTTGGCTGACCCGTCGTGACTAAAACAAAGTATGTATTGAAATTATGAACAAAGAACGTAACTAGGATAAAACATATTGAAAATGGCGTCAGCCTGAGTCGACGGCTTTGGCGGTTTGAAGAATCGTCATTGGATTATAAGAGTCCATTACATCAAAATCAACACACGACCAATGGACCGTGTACTGAAACATTTGTATATTGCAAATAAACATGGAGGAAATATTATACTGCTTATACTCGTCGAGTACCGTCATTATAGACACAATTATAGAACAATAGGTTGCAGTCACCGGTGACCGCTTGGTGTTTGACAGTTTAAACGAAAAGGTACTGCTACTTTTACAACATTTAGTTACTACACTTCTGTATAATTAATTAAGATCCAGAAAATCTAAATACATTTATATTCACTTACATGATAAAAAGAAATCAGGACAACGCGAACCGATCGCCTCAGTAAATTCACGGAGGGCAACTGCCGTGGGGCGCGGTAATAGATCGGCTGGAGGGACGACGCGTCCCTCATACGCGCATGCGCGATCAATTCACAACGTAGAACGACCAACACTGAAAGTGTTGTTAAACTGGTCAACATTGGTACATAATTTTTATCATTGAACTCATGAACACTCACTTATTAATAAAAAAACGATTGGTATTGTACTTGTAGCTGATAGAACTATTTCGCATTAGTTAGTAATTTAAATACCGTAATAATAAATCGTAAGGCGCGAGTGGGCCAGGGATGCAGGAGGCTTCGGCTGGAGCAGATGATCTGAGTAGAAAGCGGTGGTAGTTTCTTAACCCTTCAGCCACTCACATTCTCGTTGCCCCTTTGTTGCTATATTTAGCAACCATTCCCGGGGCCCGGTCGGTGAGTTGGCGAGTCTCCGCCTGCCATTTTTACGTGTAATAATTACATTGTTTCGGCAGGTGCCATAGTCATCCATAGTTCCCAATTTCCCAGTCCACAGCAACCCATCCATAGCCCTACCTTTTTTTTCCATTATCCACAATAGTTCTACACTAACCGGGGACTGTCCTTGGGTGCATTTCCATAGTGCATACAGGGATAGTCGCCGGTTTGTGCGTCCATTACATTTAGATTAAAGTTGTCTAAAAGGCCTCTGCGCAGTTGGCTTCGGCCCCTCGTACGCCTCCCAAATGACCGGGACCCTGTGGTCCCGTGAATGGTAAAGACATACATAATAATAATAATTTTACAATACTGCATAAACAAAGAAAATATCAAGAATCAGAATGACAGTGACGCAGTCAGTAATCACAATAATAAATACCTATACTGAAGCAAAGCAAAGATAAACAATGTTGACGAGAGCCAGAAGAAGACAAGGCGCACCCCACCACCTCCGGACTCGTCGCTCAGCTCCGCCTTGCCGTCGCCGGACCCCAGCCCCGCAGGATTACCGGTGACAGCAGTTGCGTCGAGCTCGAGCGACGACTATTTCTCCCCACCGACGTCGCCGACACCTGTACGTCGGCCGGGGAGAGGCCGGCCACCGACGGGCTTGGGAGCCAGGGGCCAACAGGCCCCGGGACGGGTCCCCACTACCGGTGGTTGTGTGCGGCGCAACATCTGGGCGGTGCCTGTTAGCCACACAGAAGGTGACTGGATGTTTGATGTTAAGATGTTAAGGTGTGAGACTATATCAGAGATGGAGGAGGTAGTAATCACCTCCTCTGATGTAGCCAGTGCAGCCTGTTCGGTCCCGAATTGGAAATCACCGGGGCTCAACGGACTGCACAATTTCTGGATTAAATGGCTTAAAGAGTTCACACGTTCGCTTAGCATTACACTTCCAGGCAGCTTTGGAAACTGGCTCGTTACCACAATTTCTAACAACAGGAGTTACCCACCTGCTCCATAAATCAGGTAGTTCCACTGAGCCCAAAAATTATAGACCAATCACATGTTTACCAACGGGCCATAAACTTCTTACATCCATTTTGAGGACAAAAATAACAAAACATATTGAACAAAATTCCATCATGTCTGTATCTCAAAATGGATGTAGGGAAGGGTCTCGTGGAACTAAGGAGCTACTCCTCATTGATATGGTTGTTAGCCAACAGGTTCGTCGGTCCCAGAATTTGTCTACATGCTGGATAGACTACAAAAAAGCATATGATTCTGTGCCACATACATGGCTCCTGAAAGTGCTGGAGTTGTGTAAAATAGATGCAAGTTTTCGCGCCTTCTTGGAGTCATGTATGAGGCAGTGGAGCACTGTGCTTTGCTATCCGGGATGTAGACAAATCCAAGGGAATGAAGAACCTGTAAGGATAGTACGAGGAATATTCCAGGGTGACAGCCTGAGCCCACTATGGTTCTGCTTGGCCTTGAATCCTCAAGTACTCTACTGGAGGATTTAGGGTTAGGCCATCCTTTGCGGAGAAGGGGTCAGGTTATATCCCACTTACTTTACAAGGATGACCTCAAGTTGTTTGCTCCAAACAAGAAACAATTGATGGAACTACCGAATATAACTGAAAAATTTAGTAGTTCCATCAGAATGGAGTTAGACAAGTGTGCGGTCACGCATGTAAAGCGAGGAAGGATTGTGGAATCTGAACGACTAGAACTCTCAGATTTCACAAAGCTGAGATCACTCTCCGCAAACGATACATACAAGTACCTGGGTATGTCAGAAAGATTAGGCATTAATGGACCGGACATGAAGCAATCGTTACAGGAGCGCTTCTTTGGCCGCCTGAATAAGGTACTGAGTTCTTTATCAGGCGGAAACAAGGTGCGAGCCTTTAACGGTTGGGTCATTCCAGTCCTAATGTATTCTTTTGGTATACTCAAGTGGACTTAGACTGAACTTGACACCTTGGATAGGCGAGTGCGGACCCAGCTGACTGCAAATCGCATGCATCACCCTCGTTCGTCGGTCATGAGGTTGTACATCCCGCGGAAGTGTGGTGGTCCGTGAGGTGTGCAGCCTCAGGGAATATTTCCTGAAAGTCAACGAGGGTATGCATCGAGAAGTAGCAGCGGTGGACAATGGATTCACTCCGCTATCCTTGGCAAAAGAGAACTGGCGCAAACCTGTGGTACTGAGCGTCAATGATCGCAAGGAGGTATGACATAGCAAGGAGCTCCACAGACGCTTCTTCCGGGCCAAGTATAGATTTTCTAGCGTCCGTGTCTTGGCTACGATTCAGTAATCTCTTTGGAGAAACTGAAGGATTTGTCTGTGCAATTATGGACGAAGTTATCCTGACGAATAACTACCGGAAATATATAATTAAGGATGGGACGGTTGACATATGTCGGGCATGTCATAGTCCTGGTGAATCCATTAGACATATTATTTCTGGATGTGGTCGTTTGGCTAATAGTGAATATTTGCATAGGCATAATCAAGTAGCCAAGATCATCCATCAGCAACTTAATTTACTCTATCGACTTGTTGAGTCTGAGGCACCGTACTGCAAGTATGTGCCCGACCCAGTTCTGGAAAATGACCATATCACATTGTACTGGGACCGGTCTATCATTACTGACAGGACTATTGTAGCCAATAAACCTGACATAGTGGTGATAGTCCGACAAGTACGCCGCACGATGATAATTGATGTCACCATTCCCCATGACGAGAACGACGTGAAAGCTGAGAAAGACAAACAAATAAAATATCTAGACTTAGCTCACGAGGTTGTCGACATGTGGAGTGTGGATTCGGCTATCATTGTGCCGATAGTCGTGTCGGCCAATGGGTTAATCCCTAAAAGCCTCGACATCCATCTTAGGAGGCTGGGGTTAGGTGGATGGATCAAGGGCCTGATACAGAAGGCAGTTCTCCGAGAAACGGCACGTATCGTGAGGAGGTTTTTATCTCTGGAGCCCTAACCACCGGTAGCTTGGACCATGCTCCCGCTACTGGTCGGCTCGTATTTTTTATATTTTTAAATATTTTTTTTTTTTTTGTAAGTAGTACTTATAAATGTAATTTATAGAGAATTTTAAATAAATATATGGAATAATAATCATACGATGGCGGACTTAATGCCGGGTGGCAATCTCTCACAGTCAACCATGGGGTGATGCAGAGATGTGCAACAGTAGGTGTAATAGGTATTATGGTTTATGGGACACAGAAAAATCTATATAAATAAATGTATGATTATGCATAACTGTAAATACATACATAAATCCGTATATATAGGTATAATATAAATTACATAAGATACATTATCAATATTACTAAATAACAATACTATAAAAGTAAATAAATAGAGGATAAAACTACATATAAAAAAAAATATATATATATATTAAATTATCCATTATAAGTCCAGAGTAATACCTCAGAAATCTCAAAATAACGAGAACTATGTATCAATCTCGGGGTTCTCTATAAACCATTTTATAAACTAAATTCTATAAACCACGAAAGTTTTAAGCCGGAGAAAGGGCGTATGATAGACAGTCATCCTAGAAATCTCACGAGAATGGGAACTGTACCTTAAAATCGCGGAACTCTCTACCTTTAAAACCACTGAACCTACATTATTTGACTGAAATTTGATTTAACGATAGTTTGAGACACTGGCACTGGAAAGGATGTGTAATTTTTCTATCCCGGAAGTCTCATGATTGGAATTCGGTACAACTCAACGATAGTTTGAGACCCGGAAAAGGACGCCTGAGAATTTTCAACCGCTGTACCTATTTTACTGGAATTGTTCAGTGTCAAACAGTGGTTCGTAACCCGAGAAAGGATATAGAATAGTTCTTATCACAGGGACGGATACTACATGGGAAAAACCCCTGTGAGATTGTTTATTTGGTGAAATCACGAAAGTGGATTCATTTCACAATAAATATGTACGTAGGTGGATTGAAAGTTCGTAGCCTCAGCAAGAAACCAATATAAATTATAAGCAAAAGTTATTTTAATTTTCCACGTAATCTCCACTTAACTCGTATGCACTTTTTCCATCTGGTTTCCATCGCCTGTATGTCATTGTATTGAATTGCCGAATTGTATTTCATCATTGAGGAATAATAAAAAAAACACATTTTATATTCAAAATAATTTATTTTACATAAATTCACCATAAATGTTCAAATTGTTTTCCTTCCACTTTTATGCATCCTGCATTTTCGGAAAAATGCTCTACTGAGCACTCTTGTGTACCGTCGCTCGCTTATTTTCGATGCGGCTGCTCTGATACGACCGCGTAATTCATCCAAAATGACAGTTGTCTTGATCATTATGTTTTCCAGTTCGTGCATATTCAAATAAAAGATATCTAAACAGATGGCCAGGTGTCCAGGGCCAATTTTGTGCCACGTTCACCGAATTTAAATCCACTGGATTTTTATTTCTGGGGCTAGAGGTTTACCGTAAGCCTATACGGGTGATTCTGAAAACAACCGCTTAACGGAGCGAAATGACTACCATTTCCTTGAGCTCACCTAAGGTTAAAGAAATAATAAGCCTCATCGCACACGATGTCAT